TCATTTTTTATATTTAAGGTTAGTTTTAAATATTTTCAATTATAGAACAAAAAAGTTTCATCTCCCAAAAATGAGAAGATATGTCATGCCATGTCACCATTCATTATTAAAAAACCATTCTACACTCTCACATAATTAGCTTTAGATACTAAACTATTTTATGACTCTGTTATATGATAAGCAAAGATATTCTCAGAAATGACATTATGTAGATTTGATGCTCTTTAATGGCTTGCTATTTATATTTACCCATGAATTTCAATGATTACATGTCTTCCAAGATTCTCGAAATAGAAAAATTATAACACACAAGACAGAAAAGACACATTTTTAAACCAACCCTCCTCAATTTCTGGATACTTGAGCATATACTTTCTTCTTCCTTATCATTCACTTATTCAGAAATATTTTAAATTCCCAAGGGGGGCATCTGTAGCTGATTTGCTCTTGTGAGTTTTTTCTAGGCAGGTAAAAGAGTCAGTGAATTCAAAGTATTACACAGAGCAGGAGATACTAACTTACAGATCTGGATGTAATTTAGGGCATGCAAATTGGCTGATCTTAAATGTACAGATTTATCCATTTCATCTTTCATAATGTCTTCTTTATTATACTACATATGGAAATGTCAATGAAAACTATTAAACTAGAAAATACTTTATGAAAGTCATAAAATGTTAGTTTGCATTACATTTCAATCAAGAATTATGGCTAAACCAAAACATTGTTCATTATCTCTCTCTTTTTCTAGTTCAGTTCCTGTAATACTTGTTGGAAACCCCGTGGGCATCTGAAAGGTCGTTTCCAATACACATCAACAGACATTGGGGCTGGGATGAAACCTCCCCCTAATGGTGGTATGATTGTTCTCATACTGAGAAATAGCACATATTTTATCTGTTGTGAACGTTGTAAAAAGAATGCAGAAATTAAAGTGTGAACTCTACTAATAAACAGGAAAAATGTTCTGCTAAATTCTTTGAAATAGGCCATGTTACCTGTTGAAATAGGCCAGAAGTTACCACGTTTACCACAAAATGTCAAGATTGCAGAATTTGGAATTTGAGAGCTAAATTCAACTTTTAAGAAATAAATTTACATTTCTACATACTTTCACTATAACTGCATGATTTGTACCTCTACATTATACCATAAAAGTGTAGCATGTGAAGATTTCCAAAACATGAAAAACTAGTTTAAGGATTTTAATTTTTAAAAAATCAGCAATAGATCATTCTTTAAAAAACTTACATATCATTTTATGCACATTTAAAAATAAATTAAAAATCACGAAATGCCAAATTGTTGAGAAAAAGGAAGGTTTTTATCATCATTTTATACAAAAGTGGTTCATCTTACCTCTACTACTAGTTGCTGAAGAGATGGTGATGCTACACGATGGAGACTTGAGTTACCCCGTACGGGATTATGGAGACTAATATAAGCCACAACATTTTTCTGCAGAACCTTCTTGAAATCCTGAAATCCAAAAAAGAATCTATCTTTAACATAAATAAAAATAACAGATTCTCTTTTATTAGTTAAATGTCGAATAAGAAACACTTCATACTTAAAATCATTACATTTCATAAGTACTTTTTAAAAAGCAATCCCATACTATTTAATAGCGTACACAAAGGTTATAAAAGGATTTTAAATAAAGATGGTTAGGAATCAGATATAACATATAATAAAAAATTTTAAAGCATGTTCCTGACAAAAGTCAAATTTTAAGAGAAAATGTTCTTAAAAAGTTAACATAGAATGAGATTCAACTACACAGTACAAAATGGAATATTTGCTCCAGTGATTGAATTTAATTTTATCCTCACTCACTGAATTAGGAACAGACATAGATAAACTACTTCAGTGATTAATAAAACTAGCCCTTTTCTTTGAAGCAATGAGCTACTTTTTGCAAAAAGTAACTATTCTGAGCCATATGGGGCATACTACAATTGTGACTTTGCAAATATTACTTTAAATAAAACAAAACCTGACACATATTTCGTGCCTGTAAGTAGCACAAAATGGTTCTATAGAATAGTTTTTCACTTCTCTGCTGACCCCTACACTGCAAAATTGAAGATCACTGATCCTGTTAATAAGATACCACTAGAAGTCTTTCTGTTATTTTCCTGTTTCGTTGCAGAAATATTAAATGGGTAATCATCATGGTGGCATTTCTACAGAAATGCCTAAAAATTATGTTCTGTCATGTCTTGGGAAAGTATCTTTTTTCTTCTAGCACTATGAAATAAAATACTACAAAGACTTGTATACTTCATAAGTCAATAATGTTATTATCATTTTATTTTTATTTTTTATTGTAAATTTACAATTTATAATTATAAAAACTTATGGGGTACAAAGTGATGTTAGAGTTTATGGATACAATGTAGAGTAATATATGACCTCAAATATTCAACATTTTTCTGGTGAAAACATTTGAAATTTACTCTTAGCAATTTTGAAATGTACAATACTCTACTATTAAATATATTCACCATGAGGTACAATAGAACTAAAAAAAAAAATACTCCTCCTGTATTTTGTACTCCTTGACCATCATCTCCCCATTGCCCCCACCCCTCAGTCTCTGGAAACACCATTCTACTCTCTGCTATAGATGAATGCATAAAGAAAATGTGGTATATATACACAATGGAATACTACTCAGTCTTGAAAAAGAAGGAAATTTTGTCATTTGTGACAACATAGTTAGAATTGGAGAACATTATATGCTAAGTGAAGGCCCGGCACAAAAAGATAAATATTGCATGCTCTCACTGTTATCCTTATTTTATATTGAAAATTCAGCCATACCTCTGTTAAAGAGGTG